CTATCTATCTATCTATCTATCTATCTATCTATCTATCTATCTATCTAGCTATCTAGCTATCTAGCTATCTAGCTATCCATCCATCCATCCATCCACATACATACATACATACATACATACACACACACACACACGCACACACACACACACACACACACACACACACACACACATATATATATTCATATATACATATATGTTTGTGTGTGTGTGTGTGTGTGTGTAAATATATTACGCTTGGGAAAGCCTTTGTATGTAATTTTGATCAAGTTAAACACAACTAGTGCTGATATTAGTGACACTACTTTAACAAAGACACATACGGTATCATCATGTATGTTGTTCTTCTTGTTATTGTTATTTTTATTTTTGTCCTATTTGGTTTTCATTGTTGTTTTGTTTTGTTTTTTTCTTTTTTTTCCTCATTATTTGATAAACTATGCATAAGTTAATAACTATTTACCCTGTGATTGGTTCATGATAACAACTCGTCCTGGTCATTTCGCTGTCCCTTGTGCTGAGACGCGGGTGCTGTTCTTGGTGCTGATTTAGTGTTTGGCTAAAGTTGTGTTCCTTTTGTCTTTTTTTGTGCTATAAAAATAAATAAATAAATAAAAATATATAAATATATACTTTGGATTTCTAACGAATACCGAAGCTTACTGTCATTCTGACACACATTTGTAGACCTTTTTTTTTTGTTTATTTTTTGCACCGTACAATAATCTTTTTAACATCTACTGTATTTTGATTTGAGCTAACGCTGAAACCCCGCGTGATGTCGCTCGAGACCGTGCAATAATTTGATATAAAACGTTCGGCAAGCCCTCCTTTATTCATGACATAAAGCTCTACGTCACTATCTGCTCTTTGCTTTGTGAAAACACTCCGCAGACGAACGAGGATCTAAACGCGTGCGGATGGGTAGCCGGAAATGGATTAAATAATTTATATTTTCCTTTTTTTTGTGTGTGGATATACAATAAGTCCTGGACAACGATGGCTCCTCGGATAAAATATGTTAATACCAGGAGTCTGCTTCTCGCTCTCCTTTGTCTCAGTGCGTGGACCGCAGCTCAGATTTCCTACACGGTTTCAGAGGAGGCGGACAAAGGCGCTGCGGTGGGAAACCTCGCCAAGGATCTAAATCTCAGCGTGCAGCAGCTTCATTCCACGACTCTACACATTACATCTGGATACAAAAAGCAGTATTTTGACATCAATCATGAATCAGGGGTTCTGTTTGTTAGCGACAGGATAGACCGGGAGGAGCTTTGTCCTAATGTGGTGAAGTGCTCTTTAAATATCGAGGCAACAGTGAACCACCCTCGGAGCCTCCATCGAATAGAAGTTTTAATAAATGATATTAATGACAACGCACCGACTTTTCTTGAAGATATAATTACAGTTGATATGTTTGAGTCGTCTTATGTTGGGGAGAAGCACCCACTCCCTGTAGCGTATGACGCAGACGAGGGTTCTAACTCCATTAGGACTTACAAATTGAACCCAAACGAGTATTTTTCTCTGGATGTGCAGAACACAGGCGATCAGAGTGTGTCTGCAGAATTAGTTCTGCAGAAAGTATTAGACCGAGAAACAGAGGCTGTTATTGAACTCGTTCTGACTGCTGTGGATGGAGGAACGCCTCCTAAAACAGGCACGCTGCAGATAAAGGTGAATGTTTTGGATGTGAACGATAATCCGCCATTGTTTAGCAAACCTCTGTACAAAGTGCAAGTGATGGAAAATGCAAATATCGGAGCAGTTTTATTAACTCTGACAGCCACGGATTCAGATGAAGGCGTGAACGGTCAGATTGAGTATTATTTCACAGAGAGGGCACGTTTAAATCATTTAGAAACGTTTTCCATAAATAATAATTCTGGAGAAATAACAGTGAAAGGCACTATTGACTATGAGGAAAATCAAGCCTTTGAGCTCCGCGTGCAGGCACGAGACAAAGGCACCCCTCCCCGCAGTGCGCACTGTAAAGTTCTGGTCGAAGTCCTTGATGCTAATGACAATGCTCCAGAAATATCAGTGTCATCGCTTATGAGTCCAGTTAAGGAGAACGCGGAAATAGGCACAGCTGTTGCCATGGTGACCATCACCGACAAAGATGGAGGTAAAAACGGTTTTACAATTTGTAAAATAAAGGACTCTGTACCGTTTAAATTAAAATCTAATTATAAAAACTACTATTCGATTTTGGTTGATGGACCTCTTGACAGAGAGCATGTTTCCAGTTATGAAATACATGTTGAAGCCAAAGATGAAGGGACTCCTGCTCTGTCCAGCTCAGCTAAAATTACAATTCAGATTTCCGATGTAAATGACAACCCCCCTCAATTCACAGACTCTCTAATTTCTGTTTATGTAAAGGAGAACAGCCAGACGGGAACTACTATTCATAAACTAACAACGACTGATTTGGATTTGGGTGAAAATGCAAAGTCTATATACCGTTTAATTAATGGGTCTCCCAAAAGTCCACAGATTACAGTAAATTCAGAGACAGGAGATATAGTCAGTCTGCAGAGTTTTAACCACGAGGAGTTAAAAACATTT